TCCCTCCCCCTCCCTCCCTGAGGAGGAGGGGGGACGAGCCCTCAGCCAATCAAGGGAAGGCTTTCTTTCTCTCCTCTGAAGCAAGAAATAGGAGACACTGGAGGAAAGGAGTTCCAATGTTAGAAGCAGGAAGTAGCACAGAGTTAGTTGCTCTCAGTCTGGATTGCAGCCTTGCAGGGGCTGGATCAGGCCCACGGGCGGTACGTTTGACACCCCTGATCTAGAGGTTGTACATTATAAGAATATAAGAGAAGCCAATGTTGGATCAGGCCAATGGCCCATCCAGTCCAACACTCTGTCACACAGTGGCCAAAAATACCAGGTGCCATCAGGAGGTCCTGATTTGATCACTTGTCTGACAGAAGCAGAATTGCATATTAAAAATGATTAGATCAGTGGTTTCCACAATGCCAGAACTGGATCTAAGTAATGTTGGCCAAGAACAGCAGCAGCAGCCACGAACCTGAGAGGAACAGGAAAGTGAGATGTAGCTGCCCCTCCTAAACAACATCAATGGTTACAAGAAGCAACAGCCATTACTTTATTTATTTATTTACTTGATTTATACCCTGTCTTTGTCCTTAATGAGGGCCCATAACAGCTCACATTATTCTCCTCACCTCCATTTTAACCTCACAACAACCCTGTATGGTAGGGTAGACTGAGAGTGTATTACTTGCCCATGGTCACCCAGCAAGCTTCCGTGCCAGAGAACCCTTTTAACTGGCTAAGCCGTTCTGCTGGAGGCAGGCACGTTGTAGCTGCCCACTTTTGGGGCCTTCAGCTCTCTTCTTAAAGCAGCCACCAGTAGCTGCACTGTGAGGCAGAGCAGAGCCATGCCAGAGTGGGGATTCAGACCTGGGTCTCCCAGACCCTAGTCCAATACTGTACTCACCAGAACACACTGGTTTTCATACTTTGTACCTATGTCACAGCTGTATCTGGAAGTGGGAACTACAGGACTGAAGGCTCCCAAAACCTGGAACTGGCCCCAGATGGAGGCATGTGGGGACTTGAGGAAGAGAAGAAGGGAGGAAGGATGATCTCATTCCTCTGTCTTGTACCTTTTAACAATCTGGAATAGCTCACCGGTTTACTCCCGTTCACTCCAGTTCACTAAGAGTAACTGTTTTAAACAAAGGTAAAAAGTTTTTAAAGATCTTTCCATTTACTTTTTAAAAACCTTTGCAAGAAAATTATTTTTAGCACTATCAGACTATCCTGCCAGTGTTCCCTGTCCCCTGCTGGCAGTCAGTAGAGCAGTAGGAGGAAATGAGGGGGGAACAAGGTTGTGCAATGTGGCAACATCATTTCTGGCTGAAGATCATGGATACTAGGGAAATTCCTAGAGTTGACACTCCAAGGTCTTCACCTGGAAATGATGTCTCCACAATAATGCAATACTGCCCCACTCCAACAAGCTCTTGCTAGTGTAATGTATTCCAAAATCTATCCCCCTCAATATAATCAGAAGTCACAGTGGCTATAAGAGCAGCAGCCCAATAAATTATTGTAGGCAACCACAGGTTGCCAAGAAATTCTTAGCAGAGAAGAAAAATAGACTGTGAATATGTAGCCCAAATGCATCAGCAAGAAAATCTGTTTAGCATGCAGACTCAGTAATTGATGCTGTGCAAGTCTTTTTAAAAATGTCTAGAGGTTAAAACCAAATATTGAGACACGGTCCTAATTTATTGTGTATCCATATTTTGTCTGACAATGGGCAAACATAATGGAAGCTGCGACTTCTCCTGTAAAGGACACAGAATCCAAAACAGATAATATATTAATCGGTGTCAGCCACGCACATCTCCCACACACACAGATGTGCTGACAGAACAGATGTGACCTTCATCTGGTCCATTATGTCTTTAAATGAGACTGGTTGAAAATCTAGGCATTTCTTTTGAAGTGTCGATGGGAGACGTGCTTTAAGGAGGGATTTCAAGAGAGTGAACACTGGGACTTCGGTTATTCCTACAAAGACAACTGCAAAGCCATCGCTAACACCTAGAGCACCAGAACAGCAAACGTCACTGCTTTGACTCAAGCATCAATCACACCACCAAACTTAGTAAGCTACAGAAAGACCCACGTTATCACACAATGTTTAGGCCTGATGTCTCTCTTATCCTCAGAACACTAAGATCCAAAAGTCACCTTGCCTTCAACTGCACAGTTGATCACTCAATGTGGTCACAGCTGGAAGTGTTTAAATCTACAGACAGAAATTCTCTGGGGATGAATACCCACACACATACACACGCATATATATACCTGTTAGTTCTAAAGGTAACGTCTACCACTTTGTCCTAAATCCTGCCTTGTTTAGGCCTCTTCTCCACTGAAATATCATATAGTCAAAGTACACTGGCATACAAAGTTTATTTTGTTACTCAGTCAAATCAAAAGATAGTACCTTCTTCTTGCTGCAGTAAATCTGCCATTTCTTCTCTGGAGGGAGTGCAAACATCGCTTCTCGGTTCTTATCTGTGAGATCCAATTCATCCTGGAGATGATAAAAGGGGGGGGGAGAGCATGATCAATGGCTGCAATATTTTGCCAAATATTTTCATGGACACCCTTGTCCCAATACACTTTATTTAAGAAACTTCTAAACCCTCTCCTTTGCAAAGTACCCAGCTTCCTCCCCAAACCTAATGGCTTATACTCATGTATATTTGAATTACCTCATTCACAGTGAACTCGTACCTCTTATAAAAACATGCCTGAAAACAAAAATGAAAGACTGGGAAGATTGTTAAATCTTCCAGTGTTTTACAAAACCACCCTTTCAAACCATTAATTCCTTCCAATTCCTTCCAGACACATTTCAGACAAATATATAAACTGCAGATTCCATTGTTTTTCATCACATAGCATTTATTAAAAGCTGTACTGTGTTGGTGTATATTGACTGCCATGTTAGATATTGCAGTCTTGTTAGAGAAAATTTGCTGTTTCCTGAATTCCTATTATTTCATTCCACAGAAGTCCATTTTTGTAGAAGGGGAGATACAGCAAGGGGAAGCAATATTAAAGTGACATTGTGAAGTATACAGAACTGCTAAATAAAGCCCCTACCATAAAGCAGGGACAATACCTCTTTAAGACCGCTCCACAATGGCTCATTTGGAAAACTTTCAGAGTTGAGAAACTTGTGAAAACAGTGAGCTAAAATTGCATACTGAGCCTGGTAGCGGCTGCTGACAGATTTAAAGGCCCACAGAGATTTCAGCCCGCAGAAAGGTACAAAAGAAACACAAACAGTAACAAGGTTAGGTCATTGCCAGCAGCCCAAGGTGAGGGGGGACTCACACACACACACACACACACGAAGAGGGCAAACCATGTGGAAATATTTAGAATGAGCTTCCAAATAAGAGGGCAGCCAAGCAAGGCAAGGAGTTTTATTCTTGCAATACACAATTAGAAAACTTGAGCCAGGATCACATTCTTGGGGGGGGGGGCAGAGAGAGAGAGGGAGAGGAGCAGCAAAACTGTGTATAAAGCATTATGAACAGAATGCTGCAGAAGGCCAAGTGTGTGGAAAGGAGTCGGACCGATGAAGATATCGGTCCTGCATGCTTCCTTATAAGCTATGAGCTGGGCCTGCCTCAGCAAAATTCTTCACAAAGGCAGCATTGCTCTATGGAAACAACTAGCCAGCTTACTGTTTACTTGGCAAGGAGAGACAAGAAACAACTAACTGGATTTTATTCTGTATGCAATAAAGACATAGGAGAAATTGGCAGCACACTACATAAGCAAGAGCTTTACTGGGAAGCTTAATCCAGCTGTTGAGAGCGAGTCAAGAGTTTTCATAATGGCCCTGACCTGGATAGCCCAGGCAAGCCCAATCTCATCAGATCTTGGAAGCGAAGCAGGGCCGACCTCCAAGGAATCCCAGGGCTGGGATGCAGAGGCAGGCAATCAAGCCACCTCTCTGAAATGTCCAAGCCCCACTAGGGGTCGCCAGAAGTAAACCGTGACTTCCAGGCATACACATACACACACACACACACACACACATCCCTCACCAAAAAAAGAAAGTTTTCATAAAGGCCCAGCCCACTGTTGGATGGGAAAGAAGAGAAACTTAAAAACTTAAGATCTGACTGAGTGTTCATGTTGGCAGAGCACAACTTGATGACTAATGCTGTAAATCCAGCAGAAGTCAAGACTAGGTTTGTCGGTAGGGTCGCCAGCTGTGGGCTGGGAAACTCCTGGAGATCTTGGAGAAGAAGCTGGAGAGGGTATGGTTTGGGAGGGACCTCAGTAGAGCTCAATAACATACAGGCAGCCCTCCAAAGCAGCCATTTTCTCCAGGGAAACTAATATCTGATTAGTGACCCTAGATGCCAGGCCAATACATGCAGATCTTGGGAGCTTTTGTGGGGTGGGACGTGGGAGGGGAAGTGGCACAGACAATGCAATGTTATTTCCAGGTGCTCACACATACACAGACACACACCACAACGCTCTAGGCATTCCCTCAAAATCAATGGTAAAGCCCTTAGGGAATTCCTAGAGTATTGTGTGGGAGGCCTTCAAAGTCACTTCCAGTCGTCACTTGAAAGTGACATCACAAAGTCTGCACTGTCTCACTCTCACACTCACTTTTTCTCCTGCTCCTCATTTGTTCAAATGCTGGCAATTGAGGCTGAGGATGGGTGTTTGCCTGCCACTGGTGGGCACCTGGCAAGCCTAATCAAGACATCCTGTGGATAACGCGTACAGTTTACTGTTTGCTTGGTCTGCTAAGGGAAACGGCACTTACTCGGCACATCAAGCACCGTAAAGCTCCCTTGCAAAAGCAAGAGGATAATGTGACTGAAGACTGGAAAAGTTCACATGCACACTTTTGTGTTTCTCAATTTCTTTTTGAAACTGAGAAAAAGTAGACAGTAGAGTATAGAAAGCACATGATGCCTTGCTGAGATTAAGCAGGTCTTGATTCTAGGCCTAGATGGAAGGCTGCCCAGAAATCCAAGGTATGCTGCACAAAGTCCCATGGAAGAAGGGTGGGTTATGAATGCAATAAATAAAATAAAAACCAGTACAAAGATAGATGGTCTTTTTTTTTAATGGTCCCTAGATAAAACCAAAGAATCTCTTGCACCAAATGCATTATCATACACACATGTAATGGAAGTATAATTAACACCAGCAGTTTTCACTGACCAGCCCAAACCCAAAAGAGAGCATCCACAAGGAATGACAAAAAAAAAAGGTTATCTGACTAGAGTAAGAACAGGAAGAGTGAGGACACTCTATACCTCAGGCTCCTACAAAGTCAGGGCAACAGGGAGCCTTGATAATTCTGTTGAGCCTGCAATTTCTCTCCTGGTCCCAATATGCAAGCCAAGCCTAGACACAAAGCCAGCTCCCACATGCTCAATGCCCTGAAACTCCATTGGAGCTGCTAGACCCACCTCCCACTCAGAGAGTCCTGGCTCGGATCAAAGGATAGGAAAGAATGCCTGGAGCGGACAACAGATACACACCACAGCTCTGGATCTTGCTTTGCACTGCTCCCAATCAAAGCTATGCTGTTTCTACTCCACTGTAGGCTTTCTTTCCCACCCCTCTTCTCAATCTTTTCTCTTCTACTGCAGTCGAGTGCACCTAGAGCTCAGCTCCTGCTCCAGCTACTCCTTGAGAGAGGCTCAGCTTTTGAAGGCACACAATCTGCACTGTACTTGTCAGGCCCTTCCCATCCCAGAAAAGCACTATGTCCATGCTGCCTTATGAGTTAAATTACGAGAAGTCCAAAGTAGTGGTCTTTCCCAACTCCTGGAAGTTTCATGACTGGAAAAACAATGGTCATTCCTTGGAACAGGTCAAGGTCTTTAAATATCTTGGTGTTCATTTTCAATACAACGCCTCTTGGGTATGTCGCCGAAAAACAGCAATTAATACGGTCAAAGTAAATGTGGCAGCAATTTCCAAATTTTATTTTTCAGGAAGAGGTAACCAGTATATACCTGCTGCTTTAAAAGCCTTTAATGCTAAAATAGGGGCCCAGTTATTATATGGGGTGCCTATTTGGATCAGTACAACTGGAAATCTCATAGAACAGCCTCATACCTATTTACTGAGGAAAATCTTTGGGGTGCCAATGTGTGTCTTCTAGGCAGCTTTATGCCTGGAATGTGGCCAGAACATGTTGATAACTGCAGCATGGCTAATTACCTGACTCCCTCCGCCCCCTGCTGGACGAGATCACTGGCATTAAACAACAACTGTCAGTAATTGGGCAGAGTCTCCCAGCGCAGCAGATGCAACTGACCCAAGCCTTAAAAGCGACAGAGCAAATGGGAGAGAAGGTGAAGGAAATGGACGTCACTACTAAAAAAGTTAAGAAAAAGATGCAAAAGCTGGAAATGAAGCAAGCTACAGAACAGACAAAACTCTTACAGCTACAAATGGATAAAGCAAATTTGGTCCTTCAGTTCCAAGGGGTCCCGGAATTTAGAGGAGAGAATCCGAAGCAACGGTTGAGTGAAGCAATAGCCCCAATGACAGATTTAACAGCAGAGTATCTTTGCAGCGAGATGGATGTGGTCTACAGATCTTATTCATCATACATCAAAAAAAATAATCTGCCTGGGGAAATAGTGGTCAGATTCTCGAAGAGAAATGTGAGAGATGCTATTTTGAAAGCAATTTCAGAAACACCCTTGAAAATTGGGGACAATAATATCAGGATTTTAAAAGACATTCCATTTGATATAAAACAAAGGAGAAAGAACTATAAAGAATTAATCCTTTTCTTACAAACAAATTCTATCAGTTACAGATGGGTAATCCCAGAAGGCATCGTTTTCAAGCTCCACAATAAAAAAGAAAAGATTGACTCTGTTTTCAAAGCACGGGAATTTCTGTAAACACAGCTTGGGGAACCAGAGGAGGGCAAAGGGGAGGAAGAAGAAAGCAAATCTGATGGCGAGTTGGGCTCAGGGACTTCGGATGAGGACTCCCCTTCAGAAAAGGGGGCGGCTGCCCTTAAAGGCCTATATAAACTGAGGATTAGAAAAGATAAGAACAAATAAGGGCTGAAGGACTCTGATGTGTGCCTGAAAAAAATGTTGAAACAACTTGGGGATGCTCTGGGGATCTCTATAAACAGTTAAAGGGATGGTTAAATAATAATAATCTAGCATAACAGACTAAATTCATTGTATTATTGATTGTTTTTTTAAAATAGCATGATGATAAGCTGAGATATTGCTCTCCTACTCTTGGGTTTTTAGTTAGTTGTGGGTTTCTCTTCTGTTTCCCCTAGTTGTAGTTCCCTTCCCTATATTTTCTGTTGCAGTTTTGTAGTCTGCAAAAAACCCAATAAAAATCTCCCCCTAGGGGGATTGGGGGGAAAAAAGCATGACTAATTACAATATATATTGGCTTTTCAATTCGGACACTTCTAGTTATACCTATCAGCTTCTACTGGAATCTAATGACTCTAACTGGATTACCTATATAGAATCCAAAATTAAATCCCTGGAT